GTTCCTTTTACTCTGCTCATCATGCTTTTGTCCCGTCCCCTGTCCACTAGATGGCGGCCAAGGGGCTGTGGGGCATGGCCTCGCGGCGGAAGCGGATGTCGGAGGACTCGTCGCCGCTGGCGCGCGTGCTCAACCTCGTGGACCTGACGCTGCTCGGGGTGGGCTCCACCCTGGGGCTGGGCGTGTACGTGCTGGCCGGCCAGGTGGCCAACGAGATGGCCGGCCCCGGGGTGCTCATCTCCTTCCTGCTGGCCGCCGTCTCCTCCTTCTTCGCCGGTGAGTTGGTATGGGAGAGAGGGGGGAGGGAGGGGGTACCCATGTCCACGCGAGCACAAGACAAAGCTCGCACCTCACCGCCCCGCCAAGCGAGGCGTCAGGGTCAAGTGCGAACAACACGGGGGCGCTGGTACCACCACGCGTGCGCGCCCATAGACAACTGAGAAGCTGTGTGGCGTGGCTCGGTTTAGGGTTGGCTTTTCAAGCGTACAGGCAAAGCGGCACTTTATCAATTACCTGATGGCTGGAAAAATTCATTTTTATTTTTCTGGTTGCCTCTAACTTTATTGTTGTTGTATGTGTGTTTCACCGAGGTGTTCGCCTGGTTCCACTACGTATTTTTATCACGAGAAAGTTCGGCGCACGCACGCACTCACCGCACGCCATAAAAATAAAAATTGCCGTGCGTGAGTGGGTGTGACCGCGCTCGTGTCGCTTTGGTTCCCATTACCGCCACTGGTTGTATTCCATCGATGAGGAAGGAGGAGGAGGAGGAGTCCTTGAAGCAAACAGTCAACCGCGGAGTTGAGAGGGCATCCTCTCTACGCGTCCAGAAAATATCCCACGCCATGATTGCATTTAAAGGCGCCGCGTTGCCTTGCGAAGACACACCACACATAATCACTCGGTGTTCACGTACGCCTGCCCCCCGCCTCCTCCTCATGCAGCAGCCGCCGGTAGCCGGCCGAAGCAGCCGCGCCCGACAGTAAAGCAAAAGGGCAGAGCGGCAGGCGCCGCGATAACTTTTGTTTTTCCCGCGGGTCCGAGCCGCTTGTAAAATCCGGATTACCGCGGCTCCCGAATGTTGCCGCGCGATAGCGCATAGCGGGCGCGCAGGACACTGCACTACACAGCATAGCCCGGCGCAGCGGCCGCGGCCCGGCCATGCCCTCGGCCAGGCCCGGCGCCACACCCTCGCAAGCTTTAAGGTTTATCATCATTCGAGATGGGGATAATCCCCCGCGCGGCCCGGCCTCAGGCCCGGCCTCAGGCCCGGCCGACGACACGGCGAGGAGGCTGTCATCGTCGAGCTTGTCGATAAGGCGAGCCCCGCGGCGGCGCCTGTCGCCCCACTCTCGGGAGACTTTTGGAATCACGCCGCTGCTGAAATCCCAGAAACGATAGAGTTGGCGTCGCGAAGCAGGCAGCAGCAGGACCCGGTGTGGTTGTCATCGATGTCCTATGGTTTTTAAAGCCTAAAATTTTTCCGGGAAAATATGTTATTTTTTAAGGAAAAAACATTGAAAAATAGTAATACATCCAGAAAAAAACAACAACAACAAAATTTTAAGCGAAAGATTCAGATATTTTTTAAAACCCTTTTTTGGGGAATTTAAATCCCTAGTCCTATGGCCCTGTTCCCGAGCCTTAACTGCGCCCCGTCATGGTCCCGCCCTCCCGCCCTGAGCTGGTCGAGTAGTGTGCGTAGATGGGGTTGGAGGAGGGGGGGCTTTCCTTGTTTACCGCCGAGAGCCCGCGCGTTGAGTTGAGTTGTACACACATTCCCCGGCGAGCCAGCGTGGCGGGGGCGAAGGAGAAGGGGGAGATTGGGAAGGGAGTGGGGGAGAGAGAAAAAAAGTTGCACACAACATAGAGACTCCGTTGGAATAGAAAGGCACGTGGGTTTAAGCCCGCGTCTGTGTGCTTGATAGGGCTTAATTCACGTGACTTTAGAGAAGTAAGTCAAGTCCTGTGTACAGGATTCAAAAAGCTTTCCGTTCCTGACCTTACTTTCTTCCTAGGGCTCTGCTACGCCGAGTTCGCCTCCCGCGTGCCCAAGGCCGGCTCGGCCTACGTGTACGCGTACGTGGCGGTGGGCGAGGTGGCCGCCTTCATCATCGGCTGGACGCTCATCCTGGAGTACGCCATCGGTACGTCCCCCCCGGCCAGGGCCCCAGGGCCCTAGGGCCCCGCCCGGTACAGTGCGCGCGCTGCACTTGCATCCGGTCGCATCCGGCCATTGTATGCGCTCGCGGGTGGCCCATTGCCAAAATGATTGTGAAAATGACTTCGAAACGATATCCTATAACGACATCAATCTTGTCGTTTCGATGTCGCCTCGACGTCGCGTTCCGCACTGGGAGATGTGTGACCGCCTCGTCACGCTCGGACACTTTGCAGGCACGGCCAGCGTGACGCGAGGCGTGTCGACGTACGTGGACAAGCTCGCCGATTATCGCATCTCCAACTGGTTCACCGAGCACCTGCCGCTGAACACGCCCACCCTGGCCGCGTACCCGGACTTCTTCTCCTTCGGTATCATCGTCCTCATGACCGGGCTGCTCGCGTTCGGCGTGAAAGAGTCGTCCGTCGTGAACAACATCCTGACCTTCCTTAACCTGGGCACGGCCACGGTGGCCGTGGTGACCAGCGCCATATACGGTGAGCAGCGGGCGCCGCCGACGCCCCGGGTGGTCGGCGCGGAGGGAGTCGCTCCCTCCAATTTCAATTTCCTTGTTCCAGCCAACCCTTCCAACTGGGCGCTCGCCCCGCACACCAACACCGACACGGGCAAGACTGACCTCGGCGGCTTCCTGCCGTACGGCGTCAAGGGCATCGTGGAGGGCGCGGGCACGTGCTTCTTCGGCTTCGTGGGCTTCGACTGCATCGCCACGACCAGTGAGTAAACAACGCCTGTCGTATGTGGCCCGGGCCGCGGCGATGCACCCCCTGTACTTTACATAGTGTACTTACAGGTGAGGAGGCCAAGAACCCCCGGCGGAACATCCCCTGGGCCATCGTGCTGTCGCTGTCGATCATCACCATCACGTACTGCAGCATCGCCATCGTGCTCACCATGCTCCTGCCCTATTACGAGCTCGACCGCGCGGCACCCTTCACTGAAGCCTTCAAAGGGATGCAACTCATGGCCGTCATGTGGATCGTGTCGGTGGGCGCCATCTTCGCCCTTACCACTAGGTGAAAAGAGAGCTCTCGCACCAATAAGAAAATAATTATTGAGATGATATTGAATTTGTCGATGTCGGGAACGTGTCGAACGATTCCGAACAACAAATGAGATATTCCGAAGAACGTACAGTGTACGCGTGCGCTCATCTCGATTCGAAGTATCGCCGTTTCTCGCCGTCGTGGAGCGCCCGGCACGCCCGGGGGGGTAGGCAGACCTCCGCGGCGAAAGACGGGCGCGTCCGGCGCGTTGCCTGCCCTTCGCGGCGCCCTCTCCTCCCGCCCATCCAACGACCTCCCCCCGCCTGACCTTTGACCCTCCCGCTTTGCAGCCTGCTCGGCACGATGATCCCTCTGCCCCGCATCATGTACGCCATGGCCCAGGACGGCCTCCTGTTCTCCATCTTCGCGCGCGTCGACGGCTGGACGAAGACGCCCCTGATCGCGACTGTGGTGGCCGGCGGCTTGTCCGGCGTCCTGGCGCTCATCTTCGACCTGGACCAGCTCATCGAGATGATGTCTATCGGCACCCTGCTCGCCTACACGGTGGTGTGCATGTGTGTCCTCATCCTCAGGTGGGCCCGCCTCTTCTCCCTTGCTTCCCCCTGTCCGTTCTCAACCTGACCCGACTGACGGCGCACGCCTGTTTCCGCCGAGCAGGTACACGGACACGCGTTCCAGGGGGTCGCCGCCGAACGAGAAGAGCGAGCCCATCACGTTCACGCGGTCCGTGGGGGCGCTCGTCAACCTGGAGCGCGCTGCAACGCCCTCCAAGCTCACCACGGGCGCCGCCGGCGTCCTCGTCTTTGCCGAGAGTGAGTCCCCGCCCGCCTCGCCACCGGTACCTCCGCACGACTCTCCTCAACCCCAGTCTCGGTCGTGTTGCAGTCCTGCTGACGCTGGCGCTGTGCGTTCTGCTCAAGCTGGCCGGCAACGACCTGTACGACGACCCAAAGCCGTGGCTGGGGTCGCTCCTGGCCCTCCTCGTGCCCCTCATCGTGGTCGTCCTCATGCTCGGACAGCAGCCCAAGGCGAACGTCAGCCAACTCGCCTTCTCGGTTCCTGGGCTGCCTTACATCCCCGCCCTCAGCCTCTTCCTCAACTTGTACCTCATGGTCAACCTCAAGGTTGAAACATGGGTGCGGTTCCTCGTCTGGATGTTGATTGGTAAGTAGTGGAGTCTGTTGTGGAGCTCTTCTCCTGCGGCAGCTGCCCCATTGCACGATGTGCACTGCACCGGCCGCGGGCCGCGCGGTGCCCTTGAGCCCCTGTGGGCGCTCTGAGCGGGCCGCCGGCCACACGCAGCTGCTTGGCGGGTTCACCTACCCAGCGCGTTGCAGGCGCTGTCATACAACGTGCGTTGTCGGGATACCTTTCGGAACCTCGGGATCCGCCTCGGGAGACACGCTACCCCCCCCCCCCCCCCAGCGTGACGTCGCCACATTGCCGTGACGTCGCCGGTGTGTGACGGGGCGGGACAGGCGGGGGTGGGCCGCGCCGTCGGGGTCGCTGTCCATGACTCAGCCGGATGTGTGTGACGAAAACAACAAACCTCTCTGCCCGCCAGGAACCGTCCTCTACTTCTCGTACAGCCTGCGGCACAGCACGGAGCGCCTCCTGGAGATCGCGGAGAAGAAGCGCGGCGCCGCCGCACCCACGGCGCCCAACGGCGTCAGCAACGGCTCAGGCGGTGCGCATCCGGAGCTGAACGACCTGCCGATGAGCGTCCTGGAGGGCAGGACGTACTTATGAGCCGCGGCGGTGGCGAACAGAGCCGCTATCGCGCCCCCTGTGGGGGCCAGCCAGCCGCCACCGCTACAAGGCGCCACGTGTGCTGGACTCTCCAACAGTCAGGCCACAGCCCAGTGAGAAAGGTCTGCCAGAACGATGTCGAAACGGTTTTGATTCGAATCGAATCGATATCGAGATGCATCGCTTCGATGTCGATTTTGTGTCCTGCTTCTCACGAGGGGGTGGAATGTCGACTTATTCGTCCGACTTTATGTCGACGATAACCAGAGCAGTTTTGATCTCAGCGTGAGTTTTGGATGCGTGTCGAAAATCGCTTTTCTTTTCCTCTACTCGCGACCTTTATTGTCGCGAGCTCTGAGATCGTGAGTAACTTGAGAGCGGACCACCAACGGACGGTGTCTGGAGAGAACTATTTATTCCGTATTTATTAAGGCATGTTTCCTGATGCGCCATGAGCCTGGATGATGGACGAGAGGAAAAGAGAAGAGGACAAAGAGGGCCTCCTTTCAATCCCACAGTAGTTGTTATGATATGAAACACGATAACGTTTGTGCCATCATTCTGATAACATCTACAGAGATTGAGGTGGGGTCAAGGTGGGGTGGGGCTGTGCCTCTTGGTCGTTGCTGTACCTGATGTCAGTGATATGAGCTCGTGAACACTTTCTAGCTCAAAGTTTAAGCTGTGATGAAAAAATAAATAAATAGAGTTGAATATTTGTAGTTTACTTGCGAGATATATATATATATATTTACAATATCTAACTCGCTGTATCAAAAGGGATGGTTACCTCCGGGCTACTCACCTGGCACAATAGTGATTAATATCATTTACCGTATTCTGTTGCCGTAAACACCACAAAGTCATTCTGAATTTTTTCTGTCACCTGTATGTGTTATTACTTAGTGATTTTGTACTTATTTACAGTGAAATACATCCATTTCAGTAAGAGTAGAACTTTATTCCTCGAGGAGACCTTGAACCTCTATGCAGTCGTGCGGCTGTCGAGGACTCGTGGACTCGCAGGGCAGACCTTTGTTAGCCGAGCGAGAACCGGGCAGTGGGCGCGGGGTGCGTGGCCCCCGGGAAATCAAGTTTCAGAACTGAACACACAGTGGGACACTGTTTTCCTTCTCCTCGTCGACGTCAGCTCAAGCTTGACCCCCCCCCCCTTTCCCTTTTATTTTTCACCCGCTCCGACGACACCCGCGCCAAACCCGCCACCGCGATGACGAGACGCTGTAAATGACGTCGCGGGTGAACCACCCTTCCAATTTCAACAACAATCTTCCCCCATTGCCCTTTACGATCCTCCGGCAGATGATGTGCCTTCGGGCGCGTTCGGGTGAGCTGGCCAGTCTGCAGGCCGATGTGACGTTGTCGTCGTCGTCGGCGGCGGCGCGGTCCGCGTTGGTCTCGCCCGATTTTCGGACGCAGTCGGGGGTGGGCGTCCAAGGGGGCGCGGGCGAGGTCCGGCTGCTCTGGCCGCCAGGTGGTGGTGGTGGTGCGGGGCGGGG